TCCTGGCAGGCGCCTACCTTGCCAGGCTCTCGGCCCGGCCCTGTGTATGACTCGTATGATTAACAAACTTTGAACTCGCGGAATATACTGTAAACACATTATTTATTATTGTTATTGATATAACATAAATTATAATTCAACATTAGTATTGGTTGGTTCATTTGTAAATCGCAAGCATAATATTGAAGTAACTAACGTAGACCAGTGAAACTGAACTAAAAGTGTAAAATGYTGTCTTAACACAATCGCTTAAAATTAACTCGAYCTCCGTTTTGGTGTCTGTATACGTTGTGGTTTCTTTGTTAGTTGTTATACTAACCGGCAAACACAGAGGCGACAGCAGCAATGAAAAACGACACGACGACGGCGGGACCAGCCACGTACTTCGATAGGGCTCCGGGCAAGACGTACACCCCCACACCGATGGTGCTGCCCACACCTAACGCCGTCAGATCGGTGGTGGTCAGGACCCTGTCCAACATGGACGACTCACGCACTACGCCCGCCATCGTCTTCTTCCGGTTCAACTTTTTGCCAACAGCCATCGTATATATTAAACAGTGGTGTGCGCAGAGTCGCGTGGCTGCCCGCTGGGAGACCGCCACCTACGCGCTCTGCCCGCTCTCGCTCTCCGAAGTCGTATCCGTCGAAAACCGGAAGCACAGAGCCGAAAGTTGTCGCCGGAGGTGGCCAATAATTGTATGTCGTAAGTATATGATATGTATATAATATTATGTGCGATGCGGCCGAATGATAGATGATATCGGCTGGTGGGTGATCGATAGTAATATAATATAATATGTGTTGAATTTATTTATAAAATATCGTCGGATAAGACGGGAGAGCGAACGAGCGAGCTGTTGGGTGGATGAAATTCGACGTCGTGGCGTGACGAGTTCAACGTATAAACTGCGCGTGTTTCTATCATGCGTGACGAGCTGCAGCTATAAGTACAAACACTTATGCGATGTGTTATCATCGTGGAGGAGGAGAAGGATGAGGATGCAGCGTAGATGATAACAGTGTGATATA